AATTTTACTCTTTCATGAATGAGCAATCTTCAACCATTTGTGATAGTTTCTTAACCAAACTTGATTTGGTGTCTCTTGAGTTAGACGGGATTTCAAAATGCTTACACATTTCCTTGAGCATCTTAACCTTGAAAAATGAAAGTTTGTTTTCAAATGCCAATTTGCAAAGGTTGTAGACATCATGCATCACTCACTGCTTGACACCTATTTCAGATTGTATGGCTACACTGGCTTTCTTGAGCATCACGGGAGGTTTCCTTGCCATCTGATTTCTTTCCTTCTTCAGAGAGTTGCAAAAAAAATCCCTGGATTTGAAGCTTTGAAAGTTGTTCCATTCTATAAAACATTCATGTTAGCTGCTTGTGCAGGATCTTCCTTCCTCTCAGTTTTTTTTTACTAAATCAATAATCCATCTGGTTTATTTCTTGTTTGTTTTTTTTTTAATATCTTCTCTCCGACGTTTTTATGCTAATATATAGTTTATAACCACAAAAGAGGGGACCTTTCATTAAATAAGTTCTAGTAGTGAAATTTTATTAGATTAAAGGTTTCATTTTCAGAACAGTTTCTAAATGAACAACATGAAATATTCTGAATAAACCTGAATCTTGTCATAGCTGTTTGATATAAATATATGTATTGTGCTTCCCTTAATTAGCAAAACAAAGTGTGAATTTTATCGGTACCAAAAAAAATCAGCTAATTGCTTTTTAAATACTTTCTAATGGTTTTTACACTTCAGATGTCTTCTTAATATTAAGTGTGTAATTAATGCAGTATGCAAGGCATTTCCTTTGAATTTTAATGTTTTATTAACATAAGACTGACGTACTCAATAAGCAACGAAAAGACCCCTTAAAGATAGACTCCTGGGCAAAGTTTGAAAGAAATCGATTTTTCGACCTGAAATGCACCAGACCACTGTTAGAGAGACTGCTTCTAAAAACTGCTATACAATCAATGCATAACAATACATATGAAAATATAAAATCAGGACTAACTAATTATAAGCAAAAAAAACTTATTAATGCCTTTTCAAAAAAAAGTGATCTAAGTCTTCCTTTAAATATCATAAAAAAATTGAAATATATCAAATTGAATTCAAAAGCAAATGAGTTTTTTCATGGGTATCATGTTCCTCTCAGTAATATGGGTTTTATGGAAGGAGGATGAATATTTCCTGTGAAAAATTATTGTCTTTTCATTGACAGGTTCATATTGGCTATATACCCAACAAGAGAGTAGTGGGGCTAAGTAAACTTGCTAGGTAAGGTATGAAGGTAGAATTTGAAATCCAGCATTAACTGACCACAATGTGAAGGAATGATTCCCTATCATTAGTATGCAATCCATATTATCCATACTGTTCCCTGTACTCTTCCTAAGGAGCTGACAAGGAGAATTTGTTTGACAATCAAGGGTTTGTTTAGTTAGTGACAATTTTCTTTATTCTTGTGACCTAAATGTGTGATTCAGGGGAGTTATTGTAGGGAGAAATTAGATGCTAGTCACTCTTAATGGTCAGAGGGTACATCGTGTATGGAGAGGTTAATATTATATAGTTATCAAACTGATAAGTGTTTGTTCATCACAGGATTGTGGAAATTTTCAGTCGTCGTTTGCAAGGTAAGTGTGGAATACTGCCAATTTAATATGATATGAAATTGACAGTATATGTTAATGTCAATTATCAGTGACAATATGTGGATTGGATATCTTTTTATCCCATTGGAAGAGGTGGTGACAGATTCTTAGAAACAATACTTTTATGAACAATTCAGATTCAAGTAATTGACAAAAATTCAGGTAGCCTTCAATTCTCTCTCTGACCAGTTTGAGTCAGGCTTTTAAATTGTAAGAACTCCACTGGAGCTGATGAGTGGCAAAAAAAAAACCATCCCAATATTTTGTTACTCCAGTTGAATAGTTAGACTTCAATAGTTATGAGATGAGTATTAATGAACTTAACCAATTTTAATTCTGATATTTTGCACTAAGATTAATTTTTTTTTAAAAAAAATTTTGTTAATGATTCCCTTTTTCTTTTAGTTCAAGAACGTTTAACAAAACAGATTGCCATGGCTTTAACTGAAGCTGTCAATCCAGCTGGTGTGGGGGTGGTTATTGAAGCCACGTAAGTATGATGCAGTGATGAGCTGAAAGGATTAATAATGTTAATAGGACCGAGTGGAGTCCAAAAAAAAAATGATTAACAAATCAGATGATCAAGAAGAGGCTGGGAGTCCCATTTGTCAATCATGAGTATGATTACAGACAGAATTGGACAACACAAAGTCCTGTTACCAACTGATCATAACAATTTCTAAAAAAAAAAATTTTAGGATGAACATCTCTGCTAGAATGTTTAAAGTGAAAAATTCCTCTATTTTGGAAATTCCCCAGTTTTTTTTCTTTTTTTAGGATAAGCTTCAACTGTCCAATTACAGGTGTCCGATTACAGCTAACTGTCTGATTACACTTTCCGATTACAACTGAATGATTAATGAAGAATAAAGCAGCTAATGCACCAATCACATTTGAAATGTCAAGGATGCACATGAACCTTTTAGTTTAAATATGCAAAGCTTTGTATCCTGATCCAAATTCACAGTACAGATGTTTTTCAAGGTTAGGTCAGTGACTCCAAGCAACAAGTCTCAGAGACACATCTAAGGGGGAGGTTACCATGTAAATTCCTTTGGCATAACGCAGAGAATTTTGCCATTATCTTTGTCCTTGCAACCGAATTATGTACCCAGAAAAAGTTACATACTGGTAATTCAAAATAGTTTCAGTTGGTATTTTTTCTGGGTCAGACTAGAGCATCTGGAAATTCCTTATTAGGCCTAGTACTTCCTATGTTTCAATTTTAGTGATTCATTTTACTATCTGTTGCACTTTTCTTTTGTTAACCCTTTCACTCCCAAGATCTAATTAGTAATTCTCCTTGCTATCTGCCATACAATTCTCATGATGTTAGTTCAGAGAATTTGGTATTGGATCAACTAATAATCCCATGATTGATATTCTTCTCTATTCTCATCACCTGCCTGCTTGATATTGTATTGATATTGTAGGGAGAAATTCTGTCTTGGTCACTTGTGGGAGTGAAAGGGTTAATTCTGAGAATAAGAGTTTGATCAAATGATATTTTCTGATTGATATGTTTCTTTATTCTCATTACCTGTTTGTGTGTAAGTTTATTTATGTTGTTAGGAGAAATTGCTTCATGATCAATTGGAAGGGTTGAGCACTGCCAACTAAACAGTTTTCCCCCATTAACCCTTTAACTCCCAGAAGTGATTAACATAAAACTTCTCCCTACAATATCCATACATTATTCAGCAAACAGGTAATGAGAATATTCAAACTTATCGGATAGAAGTTGTTATCTTGATCTAGCACCAAGTTCTCATAACTAATTTACAAGGAAATGTGTAGCAGCTAGAGGAGAGAATTAACAATCAGATCTTGGGAGTTAAAGGGTTATTAATGACCAAGGCAGAATTTCTCCTTACAATATCAAACAGGCAAGTGATTAGAATAAGGAAAAATATAAATTAGCAGATTATTAGTTGATTCAATACCAAATTCTCCAATCTAACATCATAAAAATTGTATGGAAGACAGCTAGGAGAATTATTTATGAGATCTTGAGAGCAGAAGGGTTATTAAATGTACCTTACTATTTCTTTCATTGAATGTCTTAGACACATGTGTATGGTCATGCGAGGGGTGCAGAAGCCAAGTAGCAAGACTGTGACCAGTTGCATGGTGGGAGTACTGCGAGAGGATCCTCGATCACGCGACGAGTTCTTGACCCTAATTAGAAAAAGCAATATATAACTTGTTATTCATTTGTTGTTGAAGTATGGATTTTATTTAATAACTACTGTATTTCTATAAGTAAGCACCTGCACTTTAATGAACTCCCTCCAGTTAGCTCTATATGATTGCTGCGTTCCTTTAGGAAGGTAATCTTTTCTTTTAATTTTGTCTTTTTGCTGCACTCACTCTGTAAGTGCCCCCACTCAATTAAATGCCCTCCTTCCAAGAAGGGCCCCTTCTTTAAGCCAAAGTTTTATTAAAGTGCTGTGCGCTTGTCTAAGGAAATACAGTATTTTCTTGTTCTCTGTTCTCTAATAATCACTGATCAAATCTTTTGCAAACACTGCCAAATGGGAAAATAATGGACATTCTTATAATTTGTCATACGTGCAGTTTATTGCACCCATATATATGCGAATGTTCAAGATAACGCTGCCAGAATATAATATAATTTTTACGTGTTAAAATTGCTTATTTATGTTTGTTATATTTGAGTAAGAATAATTCTTACATTATAATTATTAATATAAGATATTAATCATTATCTTATAATTCATAATTATTATGAATGGAGTTATTCGAGATAATTTTTTAAAGGAAGACCTATTCAGTATTTAACTTAAGTGGTATACAGTATTCTGAATGGAATTATGCGAGATAATTTTTCAAAGGAAGACGCATTTCGTATTTAACTTAAGTGGTATACAGTATTTATCAAATTTTGAGGAAATCCAAGCTATAGCTGTATGTCTTGGAAAAAAAAACAGTGACGATTAGTGGTTTTTGTTTGAATGCACATATTTGTTTAATTGAGCTGTTGGAAAGTGAACTTTGTCAATATTTACCCTTTAGACCTCGTTCTTTTTATGCATTTTTATGGACCTCGACTTCGTCTCGGTTCATTAAAAA